TTAGTCTTGTTTCCTTGATTCTAGTTGACGTGCTACTTTTTTAGCATATCAGTGAGGGCAAATTTATCCATTTTCTTGTTTGTCAAAAAAGGAATAATAATAGGACCATAAATAATAATAAAGTAAAATAAATAAACACATGATAATAATTAGAAAAAAAACAAACAATGGTAACTACAGTGTCATAAAAGTGAGCAACTGTCTTGGTGGAGTGGAATTCGCCAAGCCAGGTTATAACAGACCTGTCTTGTCACGCCCTGTTAGCAGACAATAATAATATAATTGAACAACAATAATTCAAACGATGTGAAATCCAGTTAGGATGTAGTTTCCATGATGACAGCGACGAAAAGAAATTATATTAAAAGTCACCTTTTTTTTAAATTTCTTATTATTTAATTTCCTCTTACTATATACCTGTGAATGATCACCATATTCCACCATTCCAATATTGGGACGCATAGTTGTAACTGTAAGTAAAAGGGTATTAAGCAAATGATGATTCTTATGAATGAATTTAAACAGTTCAAAACGAGAGGTCATAAAATCGAGAATAACAGATAGCTTTGGATGCGCATCCTTTCTTTGTTCTCTTTTGGCCCTGCCCACACTAACGCATTTTCGTTGTCATTGAAAACGCATCCATCGATTCGCGTCCACACTACCGTTTTGATGCGTTTTCGACTGTCGACACTAAAACGTTTGAAAACGATAGAATTGAACGTCGTGAAGTAAGTTGAACTCCTATGTGCATGCTAGAAACACACGGGCCTGCGATAGTTTCGGTCAGCGTTTTCGACTGTCCACACCAATACGATATGTATGCGTTTACGTTTTGATCCATGATCCATTTTTAAGAGCGTTTTCAAATCGATGCGTTTTCGATGAAAACGAACAGCGTATTAATGTAGACAGAAGGCCTAAACGCATTAAAATGTAGGCGTTTTCAAAAGAAAACGCATTAATGTGAACAGGCCCTTTGATTAAAATCACCACACTGGGCAGAAATAGTGGCCATCCGTAAGGATTGCAGCGGTTTATGAGATTCATGCTACGGTATGATAGACATAAAGAAGTGTCCCCTAGACTAATTCTCACCTGAACGCAAGCAATTCTGTCTACATCAAGTCTTATGGAAATGACAAATAATTGTATCTAATGTGAGGTACCAATTTTCAGACTTTTCTTACATTTCTGGGATGTCTTTTGGAGGCTTGGTTTGCACTGGCCGTATTCACATTAGAGATGGATTATCCGTTGGATAATTCGCGTCAGGCAGATAATACGTCTTAATTTGAAAATGGAACGGTCTTAATTTTGGATAGACTATCCACCTGATTTTATCCATCTGCTTTTCCGTCAATTTTGACGGATTTTGAAGACGGATAACCCGTCTCTAGCGTGAAAACCGCCATTTATAAGGGGCAAGCATAACTTACAGGCATAATCAGCTGCCTTTGGGGTTGCATTACTGATAGCACGAAGTAGACTCGATTTTCCGGCGTTGGGAAAACTGCAAAAAAGAAACAAAAATTGATATTCGTTCTGAGCTTCCATGCGCTTTTAATAGATGTTAGCCTGTAAGTCCCGGATACTAAACCCGGTTAGTAACGTCTCTGAAGCAGCGCGACATCCTTTTTCTGGGCCCCCAAGGGGCTCGACGAATTACCGGAAATGCGTTTCGAATCCCCCTTCAACCTGGCTGGCAAATTGACAATGGTTTTTGAACATACCAATCATGGCGCGTAGGTAACTTCTGGTAGACAGGTAAGGGCCAAGAACAAGGATTTCAGCATTGTTTTTCAGAAGGACTGAACTAAAAAGTTTAGTTCCGTCTGTGGCAGTAGCTATGTATAGCGCGATACTGATTTTAGATCCGGAAATGCTGGGTTTTTTGAAATTTATTATTAACTATACCTCGATATAACGAACATTCTTCTAGTTTTCCCGAACGTTCGTTCAATGGAGGTGTTCAATATAATGAATCCTCGATTTAACGAACAAATTTCCGAAGTCCCTGGCCTTGGCACTACGTTAAATAGAGATTCCTTTGTCCCTTAATCTTACCCGACAAGAGCAACATCAGCCATCAGCCTGGATTCCAGTATTATCATGAACCGTTCGCCCTTCTCTCCGCGCCAGTCTTCCGTAGCTGGTGACCCACCGCGGCCACCTCTAGCAACCAAAAGCCTGGAGCCCAGCTCATCCATTTCTCTTACAATTTGACCGTCATCTGTATACACAGTTGTACCAACAGGGACTGGGATGACTGTGTCGCGACCACGAGTCCCTTTCTGCTTTTTACCTTTTTTACCCCTTGAAAATATTGGAAAAAGCTAAGGTCATTAAACGGCCTGTGTGAAAAACGGTGTTAAAGTTCTGACGTGTGTGACAAATTTGGTAATTTTAGTAGTTCCAGGACATACACAAATGTCTCCCTCGCTAGCGGTGATAGGAGCGAGGACAGCGTTTTCTAGTGCTAGCGTTTTTAATGCTTCCACATAGTGATTTTATACAAATGAGTGAATACAAGTTCATAAGCCACCAAATACAAGTTGATTTGGAACGAAGCATTGGTGAAGTGCAATTAAACGTTTTGGGAGAAATAATGCTCGTAAGTGTGATGATTAATAATAATAAACTACAAATAAATAAATGAATGAATGAACGAATAAATGCGAAACACATATACACAGTTTTACTTACGAAAAGTATGTGCCATGTTCGGCTAAAATACGGCGATTTTCCTTAACAGAGAAGTGACGCAGTGTGGCGTTCGGGAAACACTGTNCTAGGGGTTATTTGAAACAGTTGATATTATTTTTTGAAGCCTGGTGCCGAAAGAACAGTGACAATCTCAAAAACCCCCCCCCAAGAAAAAGACGCCTCGCCCCCCCCCCCCCACCCCCCCCCCTCACGCTGTTCTAGATGGTATTCAGAAACGCCCCTCGCTAATAAATAGAATTTGCTCCAAATACTACTAGGAAATAGAGTAAAAGTATTCTATTTACTCAGTTTCTTTTTGATTAACAAGAGTCTGCGCATCGTATTTGTTCAAAAGTTAAGTTTAAAGTAAGGATTCTGCCATCAGTTTAGAAATCGAGTTCGATCTCCAAACACCGTTGACGTATGAATGGATGGACGCAATAGTGAGTCATCTGACTGACAAACCTGAGGCAACCTTGCTCTTGTTACCCGATCTCTCAATCAGTTATACTTTTTACAGGTAATTCAAGCTACTTTAAGTTGAAAGAAGAAGAAATAAACGTAGTCGAAATAAGAATATGAGGTCATCCCTAGGAGTCTCGCCCCTGCACAAGTTCTCGAGTGCATTAACCTTTTTGATCATCATACGGGCGAATCCGCAAGCGGGAAGATGAAAAGAAATCCATGTCCTAATTGGCTAACCGACTAAGCGGGCTCGACATTTCCCGAGTTGGTCCCTCAAGAAAAAAGTTCTCTTTTTGGCCACATATATAATAAGTCGGCCTTGATAGATCAAGCTTGTTCGGTCAAGATGGCTACATCGTTCTTTTTTGTGTTTTTATCGACCCCGACGATAAAAAGGAAAAAACAAAACAAAACAACAACAACAACAACAACAACAACAACCACTTGGCCAATTTTCAACCATCTTGACGAGCTACTTGGGGCCTGTTTACATGGAGGTGGGGTCCCCAGATAGGTGAGGTAACATGTGGCGGGTCACCCCACCTATCATGTAAACGTGATCAAGGGCCACACTTCAAAGTGTTAAGCAAATGGCATTGACTTTTCAAATTACCTTGACTGGTACAGAAACCGAAGGCCGGAAAACTTTTGATCGGGGGAGCTTTGGTGGAATAATTGCCGTGATGGGAGGAGGTGGAGGTTCTACAAGATGTCTTCCAGGTAACAACTACAAAAGATAAACAACAAACAAAAAAAAACAAGCAAAAGAAAATAACATAACTAATGACTACAGCTATCAGGGAGCTTAAGAGAAGACGTGTTTAAGCATAGTTAATGGAGGTGACTGGTTATGAAGCCCGGCAAACATCAAAGGAGCAAACAAAGATGCCAAGATTTATGTTGGAAGGTCCACGACCCTGCACAATCTTTTGTTTTGCGTTCATACGTTATGCATGAATTACGTAACCAGCACGTTTCTATTGGTTAGTTCCTCAATACGGAGTAAACAACTATTGTGTTTTGTGCAGGGTCAAGGCCAAAAAAGAGAACAAAAACATACAACAAAGAACTTTGTCGGGTTTCATAACCATTCCCTCTATTAACTATGGTTTAAGCGACGGACGGCAACCAGAAGTGCACTTTACGCATTTTTGGGCAGTATAATGATTTAAAGGCAGCACAATCGTCACTTAAGAAACAAGAAGGTCACTGAACTGGAGCAGAAATGCGTCCCTCTATTGTTATTGGAATCGTTACTAGGGACGCGCCGGTCAGCTATCAGGAAGATTAAGCAATGGCGCTTTTGAGCCACGCAAGTAAACCGGAAGCGGCCTTTTTTCATTCTTGGACAATGTTTTTGCCAAGATTTTCGGTCAAATTGTCTGTATAAGATTAAAGAAACATAGCGAAACCAATGCAGTAGCGTCAAGGCATATTAAACGATAAAAGACTTTACTTCCGGTTGAAGTGCGTTGCTGAAAAACGCTTTTGCTTAAGCTATCTTATGGCCAATTTGTTTTCCCCGAGCTATACAGTGAGTAACAATCCCAGAAGTCTTTGCAAACGTTAACTTGACCCTCTCGTTTTTTTAGTGGCAAATTCAAGTACATGTTTTATAGTGGTTTATCATTCACCATTCTCCTGATTGAATTAGAGTTGGCAAAAGTTGGGTTTTGAGGAGAGGTGAAAGAGAGGTCTCGGAGAAAACCCTTTAGGGGCAATAAGATTAAACTGTACTTAGTCAATAGCTTCATATCAAGGTGGGTTTATTTATTTATCTAATTATTTATTCTTTTTTAGTGCTGCTTTCAAAAATGATCCATACCGTGGATTCGCCAGGAAATGACGGGAGTCCTTCGGTCCTCATTGCTACATTGTAAAATGAAGGTGGTGAAAGCTTCTTAACATCAACATAGCTCTGCATCTAAGATAAATTACATTAGTACAGTAACACTAAGATCAAAGATTTTAGCCTTTAGCCTTGGCTAAATCAATATATTACATATTAGACTTTCAAAAAGTCCTTTGTCCGATTCTTAGCGGCCTAGCAACTCGATCCGTTTGCTTAAAAACTCTTGAGGTTATTCACTTGTGGCAAGCGATATGTTGCCAAGATCCTTTTCAGCGGGCAAGACAAGAAAAGGTTTGTTGAGTGTCATGCTACACTGTATGTTATCTGAATTCGTTTTTTGTTACTTTGTAGAGTATAGTGTGTTACTTTTAAACAAAGAAATTATTGGGAAGCGAAAGATGTATTGAACAAACTAAAGATCTTAACTACAATCCAATGGTATTTCACAAATTAATATTAAATAACAATAATATTATTGCAACTGGAAGTCAACTATAAAAAACACGCACACACACAAGACCTTGACTTTTGATTAGACTGCGAAAACATCCGTTTCTCCACGCGAAACGTCCCCAGCGGCGAAGAGCGAGGAGAAACGGATGTTTTCGCAGGCTAACTTTCGATATGTTAAGAGATAAAATAACAATTATTACAACTGGAAGTCAACTAGAAAAAAAAGCACAAGACCTTGAATTTCATTTTTTTTACATTTCACTTTTCTTTCTTCCCAAAGACTAAAAAATATTTTGAATGCCATGTGAGCAATAGAAACCGCCAGTTACATGGGTATAGGTACTCGGAATGAATCTTTGATTATTTACCATTAGGTAATAATGAAATTCATGATTGCCGGTAGACGTTCTTACCTGACTCAGAAATGCCAGATCATTGTGCGAATAGAGTAGTATCACATCAAGAGGCTTGACTTTAGCGTGAGCCTTTTTCAGGCAAAATAAAGTGAAGCTCTTCCCAGTCATGGGTTGCTGGACTAAGAATCAGAGTTGGAGTTAATTATGACATATGACTTTCTACGTGCATACCATCCTTGGAGACTCGGGGGCAATCAGTTGGGTCTAGAGAAGAGGCAAAATGAAAGTATTCAAGCAGGGGTAGAAGAGCCCCTGAGGACATCGTTTTATTAGACCAGTTCCAAACGGCCACAGCCATTCTGGCTTCTGATTGGTGCCAGAAAATGCTTGTGTTTATCTGCCCAATGAAAGAACAGCAAACCTTGGAGTTGTTTTGTGTGTTCTTACATGCAAACTACATGAAGTTCAGTAAATTGCCATGTTTGCCACATTTCACTTGCAAAGGCTGATTCTGAGACATATGAGGTTGTTTTAGCGGTCCCTTCAAGAAAGACAAGAGAAGGGGGCGTGAACAACCTCGGACATCAAAGAATCAGGCTAGCTTAACTCAAGATGAAAAGATCATTGATATAAGAACAAAATTAAAGACTGACTGACTCTGCGAACTGACTAGACAAACATGGCGATTTACTGAACTTTAAGTAGTTTTAAGTCCACTGGGGATCTTTCGACCATGCTTCAAAACTTTTGTCGCACCTTTTTTCCCCACCCAACTGACTGCCACTTGGTCTTCAAGGATGCCAGGGCACCTACTAAAACATCTACCTGCACGCAGTTTCTTAGAAAAGAAAACAAAAATAGTAAGAATATATGACAACACGACAACAACACCAACAATAAACAAAAAACAACGATAACAAACACTGACCAAGTAGAATAAGATCCACAGGAAGCAGTGACTCCATTGCCTCTACTTCACCCTCGGTCATCTGCAAAAGAAATTCATCATGTTACTTTGCAATAGCTCATCTCACTTAAAACAGTGAACCACCACTCCCATACACATTAATGTGTGCATTATGAGAAAGCAAAGGTGTCCAGGTGAAATCTGTATAGATGTTGCCGGTCAAAATTAATGTACATTCAGGTAAACATTTATGTTGATCCGTGTTCTCCATTTTCATTATCTGCTAGCCCTAGAAGACTAAAGGAATTGGGAATCAAACATGGTTTAATAAATCAAACTATTTGCATCTGAAACCAAATTTGACCAGTAACCAAGATGGATAGATCTATACTGCTTTCTGGTCAGTTTCAAAAAGCAAAGGCAATGCAGCAAGGCGAGATAAAATAAGAAGGAAGGAGAATTTACTCCTACAGTGTATTTAGCATCATCCTAAGCCTAGTCTGAACATTGCTGTGAAGGCTGGAAAAAAGTCCAGCAATCTCATGGATCTAGCAGTACAAGGCCCCCACCACCCTTAAAATAATGTCAGCTATTCTGGTTGCAATTTTCATTGCAATTAATATTATTGAAGTGTACACGATGTAGCTTTGTACAACACATGTATCTTAGATTACAATTATTAATTGAAGCAATTTATTACAATCTTTTCAATCACTCAGATACTGGAGACCACAGCAATATCGAAAGATCATGACGCAAACCAGCCTTAACTATTATCTATAGCTGACCTACCACGGTGATTCTTGACCCAGTATCATTTTCGTTAATTTTCTCAGAGTTCAGTTCTTCATTTTCACTTTCGCTTGTGTTTGAGGTCTCTGAAAAGTTGGCATCCTAAAATAAAGAAAGATCAAGTAACAAAATATCACTGCAATCAAACGACTGAAATAGCCAGTGCCTAAGAGGTAATGGTCATGGAAATTTATCATGAAATGCAGATGACCTCTAAATTCCACTGTTTTGACAACAGGACAAATTTAAAAATAATCTAGCAAACGTTTCTGATACTTCTGGACAGGAAAAGCTCTCCTCTGATGTTCAGGCCTATCTCCTCAACAAAGGCTCCTGCTGGGTATTCCAGGAAACCCTGCATGCTTTCTTTTTTCACTCTACCAAGCCTCCCTGCGACACAAAGAGGCCTCAGCGGAGGTTGGGTTTAGGAATTTGTCAACAAATAAACAAACAAACAAAAACAAAAACCCCTTGCATACTGTAAAGTCAAACAAACAATGTATTTACTCTACTGAATTACTTTATACTTGGAAGAAAGTAAAAAGAATATTACCTCCAGGGATGAGCATTTCAGGCCATATTCTTCCAGTTCTCTGACAAGCTCTGCAGCCAAAACTGTCAAAATGAATGGATAAGCAATGATTATTGCATTTAAATAATGAAATTCAATGCTTTTAAAAGTAAAATCAAACCAAAAAATGATCAACATCATGATGATGATGACAATGATCACTACTATAATGATAAAACTGATGACTAACCTCGAGTGCGAACAAACACTATTGCTTTCTTCGGCTTGTGCTTTAGTAACACATGAGCTACATACTTTCCTCCTTCTGTTACAGAAAAGGGCATAACCTAAAACAGGGAGACTTTAAAGTCAATAGGATTCATTACTAGCATTACATATCCACAGATCTAGTATGTACTACAGTGAGCCTAACCTTTGCCTGTTTTAAAATTCTCGAAATATATTTCGCTCTTCGAGCCCTGTCAGTCAATAAAATTTTATTAACTGACAAGGCTCAAAGAACGAGATATGTTTCGAGGATCTTAAAACTTCTAGAACATTTTTATTTTTACATTTTACATTTCGTATACGTGCGTCAAATGTGGTAAAGATGTGATGTCATATTTTGCAAGTAGTTCAAGTTATTCGAACCCATTCCTAGTCTCAGCATTTACAGTTTCTCAAAAACCTATTAATGTGGGAAAACAAAAAAAAATATTGATCATCAAAAAGCAAAAACAAAAACAATATATAATTACAATAGCACTAAATTACTTACATGAAGTGCCTGATATTTCCTGGATTTTTCAAGTTCGGTACTGCTAAAATATAGAAAAAAATATTTTCTAAAAGTGACTACAGACAGACCTGTACTGAAATGAATAAATGAAATGTTAAAGATGGGAGGTCAGCAGATGTGTCCCTTTTACGTTATATATTAAAAAATGCTTACAGTAAGCTCAGATGTCAGCATACAAGCTGCTATCTGCTATTATGAGCTTACCGTAAACCACCAAGCCTATGATATGAATGATAATGTGCAGTGAGGTAGAGCACACCACAGACCAAAATTCCCCTACTTTTCACAAATGTACATTTCCTTTGAATTGACCAATGAAAGAAGGATATTAATGAGACAAGGCCAATGTCCTGATGCCACTGATTTTTCTTGATGCCACTGGTTTTGGCCCAGCCGAAGTTTGAACCAAAGCCTCCCCACTCAGCACACCATCTGCATACAGCTGACTAGGTACGTACAGAGTTGTATGCTAAGTAACAATTCCAAACCTTTCATTAGTGATAACTTGACTTGTTGACATTACATCAGCGTGACAAGAGGAATGTCTTGCTTTTATACAAGATGAACAAACTTGGGTAGTTCGGAATAGACTCTCTCTGGAACCTTTTGTCGTCATAAAGGGTTGTTCAAAGACATCTGCCATAGAAAAGTAATACAAATTACGAAGATTTAGTTTATACATATACCTTCACATGTACATGTTTAATTAACCAAGCCAACAATATAGCTGCCTTCAAACCAAAAAGATCTGACTATGCCTTTAAAAATAAAGTTGCCAAGGTGTCAGGGTGATATTCTCTTTTTGGTAGAATGCCTGGGTTTTTATGCCATTCTAATACCTACTACGCTGTAGTCAAACACATCTTAAAGACTACAGTTGACCATAAATATGAAGTAAGCCCCTGACAATCTTAATTTACCACAAAAATAAAGCTTATCAAATGGACTCAAAAGTGAGGACTGGATGAAGTCCCATCCAGCACGGGTACGATCCCGGTTTGAAAAAGCTAAGCCAAGAATACCTTTACGCAAAGTTACTAACGCTCGTAGATGTCTAGACTTCGACAACAACGAAACACATGACGGAAGAAACGTACGAAATCTGGCAGAACGGATGAGAACGTCCGCCATTTTGGAATTATGAAACTACAAGTGGTTTATGGGAAATTGTCTGACTCCTCCCATGCTCCAGGGTATATTAAAAGAACCGCAGGGGAGGGCGAGAAAAAAAAATGTTTACTTACAGACGCGACAAAACAAACTCTGATGGCAGTTAAATTTTCCAGAAATAAAACACCATGTAAATCACTGAAACCTTACAACATACTTTGAATAAAAATGACTTGTTACCACGTGGAATGGATTTTCGTTATCTTTGAACTTTGCGTGATTTCTAGGTTAGCGTGTTTTGGTAACGCCGGTAAACATCGCTGGCTGTCGCGTCAAGTAGTGACGACTGAAGTGACCTCGTGACCCGGCTCTGCAAACTTTCAAGGGATTCAGCATGTTCTTGGTTAAAATATTGCTGCGATGATTGTGCACTTACCATGAAACGAAGTGTTTCTTCTTGAGAAACTTGAATTTTTTTTCCTCGACGCAGAGAAAAAGAGCTATCCCGCGTAACCTAGGAAACTTCTTTACTGATTTTCATAACAACCAACATGGCGGACAACGTACGGGTCGCAGTTCGAGTTCGTCCTTTTATATCCTTTTAACGACTTTACTTTTGCGTTAAAAACATAGTACTACAGCTATTTAGACAAATATTGGTCTTTGATACTGTTGTACACTTAATGTATGTTTGTATTGGTGTTTGTTTGGAATCTGCGATTCGTACCTCAGCTGAAAAGTTTGCAGGTGGTATTGTTGTTTCACTCCGGTTCGTCCAAGCCTGTGATCTTACATCCTACAGTACACTGCTGCCTGAAATAACTTCAAAGAAGACAAATATATCGATACATTTTTTAAAAGGTTATTTTCACCCAAAAGGCAGTTTAAACACACGAACATTTACTTAATTACATGCATGCATACCCAATTGGCGTGCCCCATGTTGACAATTAAGAAATTACGGGGATTAAACGATTACAGTGTCCAATAGGTCTTTTGGCAATCTATGTATACACCGTGTAATTGAATTTGTCTCCTCAGCTGTGTATGTATGTGAATGCCTCTGCAAAAAAATAATATTATTTAACAAATAAATGTTACTCAACTTTCTTAGGCAACAAAGATTTACTAAGCTTTGCCATCGTTAGTAACCCTACGATGTATATCTGTTGTCTCTTCCTACTTAGACCAGTTAGAACACTTCTCTTTTATCTGAAAAGTTCTACTAACCTTCCTTAACGTTTGACACAATTCTCGGGAGAAAGCTCGCAATGCAGTGTTGATTATAAAGATGCAAGGCAACAGTACCTACATCAAAGATCCATCAACTCCAGACCAAGAACCAAGGAAATTTGCCTTTGATTATAGCTACTGGTCACATGATGGGTTCAAGGAGCGTGATAATGGCTACCTTGAGCCTGTAGAACCCCAATATGCCGACCAGGTGAGACTTCTTATGATGATAATTTTGATAAAAAGTAATAATGTGTTCTTCTGGCTGTTCAAAAAGTAAATATGGCCATCCACTAGATAAATCTCGATCCGGAGGATAATGGAATGGTTTCCTTCATTAACTGATCTCGTGGGTAGTGATTTATCCAGTAGATAGCACTATCTAACATTTTGAACAAACAGGAGAGGAGAAAAAAATAATCCTGTTCTCCTGGGGGGTTTTCGTGTGTGACATGTTCTATCACCGTTCGGTTTATACAAACACATATTGGCTTGAAAGACACAGCCCCCCCCCCCCTTCCCCTCTCCCTTTTTTCCTGTGTGGCTCATGATTTATAGCACCTTGGAGGAAATAACTAAGTTTTATTTTTATTGAATGCATATTTCTTCAAAATAGTCTCAGGTATTTTTGTTACAGGCTAATGCCAACAGTCTCAGGCAAAAAAGTTGGGACACTTCCACTTGTTGTAATAAGGTGTAGGGTGCAAGGTGACCATTTGATAGCTTGGTGGTACATGTAGTTGTGGCCATGCCTACCCGCACTGCACAAGGGAAAGGGTTACCTTTTCAGCTTTTGTTATTACCCATGCATCACATGTATGTACCCGTACGTAACTTGCAGATCTGCCGAAGGCCTTTCTCAGGTCTGTCACAGGTCTGTTCAGTCATACAGCAGACCAATTTGACGCAAAACTGAAGTCTGCAAGTCTGCATACTGTCTGTGACAGACATCTCATGAAAATGACTGCTTCTTTGACTGTGTGTTGCCTTTTATCTTGTTTGCAGCAAGTCTGTTGCACACCTTTCGTGACTTTTGGTGATTATGCAATAAGGATCTATTATTATGTCTGCACTTGATCTGCAGCAGACGCTGTGGGGACAACCACCCGCACGAAACTTGCAGCGCTGTACAGCGCCACAAAATCGCTTCAAAATAGCTGTACAGCTAAATTACAGCTGTTCAGCAACCTTTTAGAAGCCAAACAGCAGCTTCATTCAAGTTGCAGCGGGCTGCAAAAGCGCTGTGCAGCCTTTGAAGGTTCTTTGAAGCTCTTGGCAGCGGTTTTGCAGTGCAGTTGCCGACTTTCAAACGCTGCGAAGTAGCTGCAAGTAACGCTACAATTCAGCTGCGGTCGATCTGACTTTCTTGAGCGCCAATAACATGAATCGCCAGATAAAGCCTTGGCACAGATTACGGCTTTTATAACGCGAAAACGTTGACTGTACCTCTAAGAAATGTGAGTAAGCTTGTGCTCAAGGAAGATCACTTATTGAATAAACCTTCAAATTGTATACTTTCAATAAATTTTTTTCCGTGACCGGCAAGTGTGGGAATGTTATCGCTAATTCCCTGGAGACATTCTAGGCCGTGATCTAATTGGTCGGTCCTTTTATATGAGATCCCATTACATCTCTAGACAAACACGGGATCCCAAACATTTGCGACCGTTGAATGAAAGGTGCAAACATTCTGAGTTTTTTTACATCTAGTTCTGTTTCGAGATGGAAGTTCTGTTGAAGTTTTTGGATGGAACAGCTCAAACGTATTTGCAAATAACGCGCTGAACAGTGACTTCTACGCTAAGTATCGACAAATCGAACCAGAGCAAGCAATACAGATACAAGAATCTCAGATGGGGTTCGCACTTACAAGATTCTTATACGCTCGTGGTAACAATGTTCGTTCCTTAGTCCATTGTAAAATTTAACGACGACCAAAGTAAAATTGGGTTGATTTCTTTCATGTAAAAAGTGTAGAAGATCGTGGATCATGGACAAAACGTCAAGGTGAGCAATGTCCAGCTTAGCCCGTTGCAACGAATCAAAAGATCATTTGCCTGCTGTCCGTGTAAACTTTATGTAGAGCATTAATCGCTGTTATTCTCTTTATTTTTAAAAAAGATAATTTTAAGTTACTCTCTCGATGCCTCTTTCCATTCTTAAATAAAGGTCACCTTTAGGTCACCTTTTGGCTTGCAGCGTGTTGTTTTCTTCGTATATTTTTAGCTGACATCTAATACTCCATTCACTTTGCTGCAGTCAATCTGCAGACCTAAAGGTCTGTCATTCACCTTTTCACTTGCAGCTCACTGACAGTGAAGGGATACTTTTAGAACCGATCCACTTTTTGTGTTCACCTTTCCGTGACTAAATAAAATCGAACTGCACACTTAATACAGACCAACTGCATGCATACTAACTGCAGACATTTCAGGCAAGTGATCTGCAGGCCTGCTGAAGACAGTTGAGCAGACGAAAAAAAGACCAGTCTGCAGATCTGCATGTTCTGTACGGGTAGCCAGCATTTGTTTGGACTTCCACTAAGAATGAATAGAATGCACAAAATGCAATTTGATCAAGCGTGTTTGGACCTTCTACCCCTCGTAATCTGATCACGTGTGTTTTGACCATCTTTCACTTGAAACTTAAGCAAAGTACAGCATTGGGGCAAAAGCTTTTGGACCTCTGATTGTTGTCGCCTGCACTCGGTAACCTTTGGTTTTTACCAGTTTATACAATGTGCTTTAATTTCAATCTTGTAGAAAAAGGTGTTTGATGATCTTGGTAGAGGAGTGCTTGAGAATGCATGGAAAGGATATAACTGTTCGCTGTTTGCATACGGTCAAACAGGCTCAGGAAAATCATACTCCATGGTTGGTTATGGAGAAAACAAAGGTACACTTCACATTACGTTGTCTATAAAGGGGTTCATTGAACTGTATATTAAAAAATTAGCAGGTCTTCAAGGATGTAGCTAAGGAAAAGCTAAGCAGACTTTTTTAGTAGTCAAGATGGCGTTCTTACTCAATTGCTTCTTCATGTCTCCATTTGATCCAGAAAAAAAAATCTGAGCCAATGCTGAGCTCTTACCCTAACACTACTGTACATAGAAACTCAAAAGTTAGATTATGGTTCTTTTTTTATCCAGGGTTTTCAATAAGATTTTATGTAGCTGGCCAGCTTTGGAGTAGGTGGAGAGGGAAAAAACTTGCAGCAAAGGCGTGAGTTTGTGGAAAAAGTTTGCAATCTCGGCCTCTTAGAATGCATTTCCAGCAATCTTGAGCAAAAATTAGAGTGTTTGAACAGAACACAGTGATCACTACACTCTTTTTAAATCGGGGTAATTTCCAAAGAAAAGTAGGCGGTGAGTTCACGTGAAATCGCCTGCGAATTTCGCCAGCCATTGGCTCTTATTGTTTCCTGATTTAGCATCTGAAAATAAAAGAGTCAATGCCTAACCTACTTTCTTTGTGATCTACCATATCATTATTATTACTATTATTATTAGTTACTTATTTGTTTGTTTGCTTTTGATACTAGGTATTATTCCAATATTCTGTGAGGAGCTGTTCAGTGAAATAGAAGTTAAAAGAGGACAATCTACAGAAACAGAGTATCAAGTAAGCTGGAAGAGAACACTCATAAAATTTATCTACAGATTTTATAACAGAACTAGACTGACTTTTGTTTACAAGACAGCATAATTGCAATCTGTCTAATACTAACTGAGATCCTCCCAGAAATTAATTACTCCCTCTGAAGTACATTAATTTGGCATTTTGATTTAGTAAGTAGCTGTAGGGAATTTAAAGGGGG